ATTTTGGCCTTTCAATTCAATAAGGTTCGAATCATTATTGTTATTTAATATGATTACCAACGCGATTTACTAATAATATGTTACTTTGTTCTCCTTTTCAACTATTTTAATTTTTCTAATCGTTCTTCATCCAATGTTTCAACCGTTTCATTTGCTTCTTCAAGAGAACTATATATTAAAAGTTCCGATAATGTTTTCAATATATTCTTGTGTCCATCTTCATGCTCATTTGGTGCTTTGGGCCATCTGCGATATTAATTCCACTTCTCCCTAAACATTAATTTAAGCATAAATTTGATGATGTCAATTCATTACCTCATGATGAAAACAAAAAATAAATAAATAAATAAAAAAGGAACCTGCAAAATTAGAAATCGTTTATGATCCAAATCGATCCCCCTTTCTTTAAAAGACTTGTAACTTCAGTGTAATTGCTTTGTTGTCCATTTATGAAATACTTGCATTATTGCGAACAGCTTGACGCGAGATAATCAATTGAGATTGAGGTAGAATCTCATAATTATACGAACCAGGCCATAATATTATTAAACATCATGCGTTATTATTATTTTAAGTGAAATTTTTTTTTTTTGGAAATTAAAACTTTATTATTTTGTTTCTTTACCAAGTCAAGAATTTCAAAATATACATCAACTCTGCAAGCATCCAGATTTCACTTTCCTATAATGATTGAAATAAGTACTGATAATATATATGGCTTGCCTCCTTTTATTTGCTCGATAACCAAATACAAATAAAAGTGCATATAACATTTGATTTTCCCAACCATTTGAACTGACGACAGCAGAAAATGACTTTAAAATTAAATTTTAATGATTAAAGAGAATCTCGTGTTGTAAAAAGCTCCAAGAAAACAAATATACCGTAACTTATACCTTATGAAACGGACCTATTTCCTGTTTACCAAAATATGACTTAAAATTATTGAAGATCATTTTACTAACAAAACGCTTTTTAGGTTCTAGAACAGAAACAATGTCAATAGAAAACTCTAGGTGAGCTGAAGTCATGTAATTTAACGGTGAACGCGCGTCAGACACAACTAGAAAGTTGTGAGATAGTCCGGTCACGTATATGTTAGCCGGCAATTAAATCCGGCTACAATTTTCCAGGTGACGCGATGTCCATGTGACTAGGGATGTTCGACCAGTTCCGATTTTTATCGTTTTGAAGGGTAAGACCGATTGGTAGACCGGTTTGAAACTGGAGTCTAGAAGGAATTTGATATACAGTGGTGTGCAAAAAAAATGACAATTTTTACTGCGGTAGATCGTCATTATGTAACTAGCCCAATTTTGGTC